TGAAAAGACACTTTGTATTGCACCTTGTTTCTAGTCAAGGATGTAGCCATCCACTTTGAAGGAGTAGTTAAAAGTTCTTAAATAAGCTAACCCCAAGCCAATCCGCTTATACACTACAATACAGAATGCATTTTCTAGTCCATAGCACACGGGATGTTGACTGGTCCATAGTCCATATCACTAGCGGTTAAAAGTAAAGTCAGTCCACTAAATTTTTTAAGCCATAAAAGAGCTATCCACAAAGACTTTGCAATTCCTTCTGTTGAGTCAATAAGTAAAGCATGATCAACACATGCCTAATTGGTAGTAATGTTAAATCCTAGATAAAATTGGCAGAGAATGAAGACTTTAATCCCGCGTAGCGCGTAAAACGACCAACTGGTGATGATCCATGCCTGATCATATTAGCAGCTGCAAGGCAAAACACTACATAGAACAACATTCTTGATTTCAATGTATCTGTTTTCTCAAAAATCCTCTAGTAATTTCGTACATATGAATTTTGAATGCAAACGTATCACTTATTTTGTTGAAAGTAAAAAAAGAGAACTTTCTTAACGACTCTCTCTTTTTTTACGATTGACCTCCTTACAAATCACAGAAAGAATTTTAGATTAAAATTAAAATTTACACCTACAAACGGTTTGCAAGAGGGAAGGATACCTTCCTACAGAATAGGTTACAAAATCTACCTTTAACAACTCCAAGAACTTGAATACTACCATAAATTAAAGTTATCAAATCCTAATTAAAATAAACAGCATATAATTTAAAGTAAATTCACAAGAACAAAATGTACCAAAAATAAATTAAACATGTTTATTGTTAAATTAAAATGCTATCTACTGACAAATCTGAAAATTAAACTACTGCAAAATTAGAAATTCTATCCTAATTAAAACTAAACTAAACATGAACAGAAATTAAATTAACATACTTGAAGTTGAGAAGAAGCGTAAACGCCATATAAGTAATCATTAAAGAAATGTTACTTATCATAAACATTAAATTCATTGCAGATAGAAAATGAATAGCACCTTAAAGAAATTTGAAAGACTGAAAAGTTCATTGTATGAAACGAAATTGTTGAAGCGAATACATGAATTAGTTTATCTACTAGAATGATGAAAAACATTCTAGATCTACTGAAAATTATGCTGAAATCCGAAGTCTAAAAGCAATTGTAGAGAAATTGAAAGTCTGAAAATTTGTAGATATTTGAGTAGGACTGACTATCTGTTCTCCTTTCCAAAATTTCCTTTTTGTTCTCTTTTGGCCAACAATAACTCCCCACTTACTGCAATTACAAAGTTGTGAGTGGTTTCTTGAGGTAGTAGGACAGTTCCAATTGATCTGATCAGATCTCCTTCCAAATTTTTGCCACATGTACCCTTATCAGATAACTGCCTTTTACAACTGCAATCTCTTCTTAAATTTCAGCTAAAATAATCCATTTTTTACTCAAAGAGATAATTACATGGTAAAATCTTATTTTTATCTCTTTTTTACCAATGTGGCAACTAATTTATCATGGAACCGAGAATAACAAATTTGACATTGTAAAATCTCCTCCATTTATTTAAAAATATTTTGACACGTGGCATGATCTTAAATTTTTATAATTTATGATGTAAACAATATCACACTAGGTTTGTATTTGCAATTGGCATTTGAGACAATGTTGAACTAATCTATCTTTTCCTGTGTCTGGCTACAATTCACCATGCGAAACCGAAGTAATTTTGGATGGAGCACGTTCAGAAGGTCATCTTTGATCAGCTACCCTCACATTCATTCTCATCACAAAGGGCTGGTTTTTGGGATTTATCCAGTGGATGCTGACTTAGATTTCTGTCTTGGTGGGATGTGAAGCCAAGCCTTCATCATGTCATATGCTGTGAAACCAATTGCAACAGAAGGAACAATCTGGAAAACCAAGTCGTTAAACCTTTTCAGTGCTGGTTATTTAAATAGTATTTAACAACTAAAATATTTAAAAATAAATTACCTTTATATAATTAATGCTAAGGCCAGCAAACAACTGTTTCCATCCTTGATTACGGGCAATAGTGGTCAGCCCTTCCATTGTGTTTCTGCATCTGGTATCGCCTTGAACTGAAGGTTGAAGACTTTCAACCTGTCAAGTGAGATTTCAAAAAACATTCAAAATCCATGTCCAAATTCCACTTAGATATATGACACAAGTTGGGCAATCACATCAAGTATACTGATAAGATAATATGAATTTAGACATCCCATAAAAAAATTTTAAAAAAAATCCATGATAATAAATTTTGTGACAAAAGCAAATCAGACTAACAATTACTCCACATGGGGGGATTATAGGAATACCTGCATCTGTCTCCTAACAACATCCAGTGGGTATGTGAAGGTCTGACCTAATAACCCAGCTAGGGCTCCACAAGAAAGACGCATCACAATGCACTTTTGGTGCTCTTCAGGAACATGACTCTTGAGTTCCTCATAAATATAGAACTTCAAACCAGCATAAGGAAGAATTCCAGTGAGTGTTGGACCTGCACAAAAAGAGGAACGTCTGTGAATAAAATGGTAATAAAACACACAATAAAGGAAGCAACTATACTAGAAATGAAATCAACGTTATCAATTTGAATTTTAGCTTATCCAATTTTACTATTGCCTAGGAACAGAATGACTGGCCACTGGTGTTGTATTGGCCTTCATCAAATCAAGTTTTTATGGCACCATCTCTATAACATGAAGTATGAAAAGCCATCACATATACATACCTAAACCTCGGTATAATGCACGCACTCCCCCTTCCTTGTAGACAGTCGTCAGTACATCTTTTATGCCACCATACATTGGTCTTGAGTATACACTTTTCACACCACAGCTTAAACTTCCTCTGGCATCCTCAACCTATCGAACAATCAACAATCTCGTATTAATTAAAAATGAAAAGAGATGAAAGAAATACAAAATCTTTGCACTAAAATTCCTTGTAAAAGCATAGCCTTACTATTATCTCCTTTAATAGTCTGAAACTTGATAAGCAGTGAAAATAATTGAATGAATGCGTACAACATTTAGAAACACAAGCTCCTTGAAACCACAAGTTCACTTTTAGAACCTCCCATAGGTACAAGGGTCATGCTTTCCTTAGTAATTCAAACCCACAGGAAGAATCCACAACATATGAAAGTAACAATGGATTAGATAAAAAAATGCAACACTAAAATTACATAATATATATTCATTGTAGGTCAGAAACACTTAACAGTTAATGTACCAAACTTCCAGAGCTAGCATGATGCTAGTTCCAGGCTCAAGAAAGAAATATTCATGAAATCTACTTGCCTGATAAGCAAGCTTAGTACGAGCCAGATCCAAGGGGTAAGTGCATAAAACTGCTGTTCCCCCAGCAACAGAACCAGCCAAGAGATCTACAACAGGCCCTGATCCAAAGGCAGGATAGTTATTCAAGATCCATAACCGATACTGCTCATAAGTCATAAAATGTAAAGCTGCATAAGGAACAATTCGAAGAACACTAACTCCATTCCCCCTACAAGAAGAATTAAGTATAAATTGGGTTAATCCACAGGAGCCAAAGATTGAAGAAAATGGTCAGAAGTAGATAAATCCAGACTTACTTATAGAATCCAAGAACCCCTTCATGCTTGAGAACTTTCTTTAAGGATTGATACACGCCAAGTGATTGGAAACCTTCAGTCCTAGTCTATAGAACAAGTAGAGGGAGTGAAGGAGGAAGCAGAACCATATGAGAATTATGAATACACAATATATGCAAAAATAACGTTCTTATGAAGAAACAAGCAATAAACAAATGAAAACATCTAACAAGCAGTATCCTGCAAGCAACAGAATCATACAAAAGAATCATACGCACTGATGTGAGAATCATCTCTATAACATACTGCTTAGTGAAGAAATGAAAATCACTTCAAACATTTATTTATCTTCCGCCTAGTAAAATGCCAAGTAGAAGAAGAACATCAATTCGTACTTGTGAAATCCAATAAAAATATAGAGAGCAGATGCTTCACCTGCAAGAGAATTTTAACCCGTTCTAAAGGTGCAACAGCTGTTTTAGCAAATGCGCCAGCAGCACCACCAGCTATCAGCTCCCTAACATAAACTGGCAAATAATCAATGTACGAAACCTCTTTGCGTGCTGACGAGCCATCAACAAAACCAGCCATATTTGTTGAAAATGTGGACCCTTGTGAAGAACTCATCTCAAACCAAGTATTCTACAAAAATCTCTAGAAATTTGACAAACAGTTATTATCAACCCTCAAGCTTAAAGAACTCCTTATCCCATCGATCTATGGGGATACAAAAACAGAAGGACTTCTGTTCCAAAGGCAGACTTAATGGCCTGAGAACATCCAGAGATGAGTAGGGCACATTCAGAAGCCGATCCTCCTCTTTGAAAACAGCAAGATACATCAACAGATACAGAGAAGCAGACCACAGAGACCAAGAAACCAAGAATCTCTTCGATCACAACAATGCTCCTATGAATCTATCACAGAAACCATCATTTAGACACCACATCTTAAGTTCATCAATTTCAATAAAAAAATCTAATTACACAGATAAAATAATCAAAATCCCTTTTAAAGCTATGAATTTCAAGCATAACAACAGAGTCCTTATAAGGTTGATCGACAACCCAATAAAAGATTTTTCAATCAACAGAATACTCCTATCTCAAATGAACAGAAAAAAAAAAAAAAAATTCCCTTACGAATCCGGGAACAAATAATCAATGCCCAGAAGAAAGTATTCAACTTTTCTTCGAAAACCAAAATGAAAGAAGAAAACTCTCTAATAGACGTACCGGAAATTGAACGATTGGGTCAAAGGAGAACAGGCGTTTAACTTAGGCAAACCATACTTGTAAATACCCGTTCTCCTTCGACGAGTGAAGGACGTTTCCTGAACTTTCTACAGACTCTAATCTCTTTCTTCGAATTCGAAGGCGCTTTGTTGAATAGAAATGTGAAAGGTGTTTCTTTTCATGGTGACGGTCATGCACCGAGATCCTTGCACCTTTTTTCCGCATGTTTTGAATATTACCCCTTAATTGTGGAGGAAAAAACGTAATAATAAAGTAATTTATTAATTTTTTTTTTAAAAAAAAACAATTTATTTTTGGAGAATCATCCTTACCTAATTGGGATTATGCACCTAAAACTGGAGATTTACCAAAACCCAGATTAAATCCCTAGTCTGTTATTGAACATGTTCTGCAGTGGTCGACTCCCCAGAGGGGATTATACGCAATTCTTGAAAATGTTGAAGTTTTTTCTTCGACCCAGAAGTTTCTCCTTCTTCTTCTTTTATTATCTTTGCTTAAGTCTTGATCTTGGCAGGTAAATGCATTAAAATTTTTTCAATCTTTTGTAAATTCAATCTTTTATCTGTGAGCAAGTCATCATCTTTGTAGTTGTGATTACTTTCATTTTGAAAATTACCAGATTGGTTGCAGAAATTTCTCAGGTTCTGTAGCACTAATTTTGCTTTCAGGTAGCATTAAAGTTCTGTATAAATTAATGCCACAAAGATTCAAGAAGGAGAAGAAAACTTTTAATGCATTCATTCAAAAACATCAACAATCCTCATCTTTTATTGTTTTTCCCTTTTGCTTATCTTGGCTTGGGATTGCATTTGGATCAATGGAGGAGGTTTGTCTAGACAATGGTAAGGCGCTAGGACTAGGATAGGAGGTTGAGGGCCTTGAGGCATTGGTACCCTTTCCATTGTAGACAACATCATCTTCATCATCCCTTATCCTACATTTTTCACCTAATACAATCGTCTTTGTCCAAACAGAATCATAGTCTGTTTTCAGCTTTGCGGCCTTCTTCACTTTTCTCCACCCTTTGTGCAGTTTTTCTTCCTGGCTCCCAACAAAGGACATGCTTCTCGGGACTTTGACACTCATGGTCCTTGTGCACTCGGACTTTGGCGTGTAATTGAAAGAAAATGTAGCTCTCAAATCCTTCATAGCCGGTGGCGGAGGCAGTGGGATGGTGGCCTTGGCCTCATCTTCTGGTGTGGGAAGTGCTGTTGTTGCCTCTGCAGTGGGAATTTTTAAATATGCTTTCTCTGTGCTTTCAACTCCGGGAAAGGATGGATCAGGTGATGATTTTCTTCTTCTAAACTTTCTTCTAAACCCACATAGACCGGTGATTATAGCCATTGTTGCAGCCATGCCCACGACAAGGAGAGGGAATGACGATGCCGGGTGTATCAACGGATCTTCACCTGAAGACATGCTAGGCATGTTCCTTCCCATGGTTGAAGGACCTAGAACAAAGCATGGCAATTGAACCTTTACTCTCCCTTTTGAGGTCCCTAATTTGTGTTTGCTTAATTTGGTTTGATGTTCAAAAATAGAGATTCCAACAAATTGCTTGGTTCTTGGAAATATGAATTAGAAATTGATGTTGAAGGTTTTTACATCTTTAATTTAGGGGAAAGGAAAGGAAACAGAGATGAGGGGAGTCAGGCAAGTCTCAAAGTTCTCCATTTTCAGGGAA